GGCAAATGTTCAAACAGCAAATGGATGAATAACAAAAATTGTTTATTCCTGTTTGGTGCGAGAATGCAAAGAGAACAATGACCAATCCATGGCTTACAAGGGAAGTTAGAAGTAGTATTAGATTCAAAAAAAGAAGCATACAAATTAGCAAGAAGAAATCGTAGACCCGAGGATTGGAAGTAGTTATAAGTCAGCAAAAGAGGACTAAGCGATTGATTAAGAAAGGGAAAATAGACTTGGACAGTAAGCTTGCGTGGAACATTAGAACTGACTGTAGAGATTTCTATCGGTATGTGAAGAGAAAAACTAATGTAGGTCCCCTTACAGTCAGAAACAGGAAAAATTTATGATGGAGAACAAAGAAATGGATGATGAACTAAATTCATACTTTGTTTCCACTCACAAAGTAGGACACAAACAAATTTCAGAAATGATGGTGAACAAAGTGAGACAGAGGAACTGAAGCAAATCTGTATTAGTAAAGTGGTGTTGGAGAAATTGATAGGATTGAAGGCTGATAAATTCTCTAGGCCTGATACTCTACATCCAGCATACCTAAGGAAATGGTCCAAGAAAGGGTGGACGCATTGGTGATCATCTTTCAAGACTTTAAGATTCTGGATTGTCCCGACAGGTTGGAGGGTAGCTTATGTAATCCCACTATTTAAAAAGGGAGATATAGAGAAAACAGAATTATAGACTAGTGAGTTTAATGCTGGGGAAGATGCTAGAGTGTATTATCAAGGATTTTATAGTCGAGCACTTCAACACAGTCAGCATGGATTTACAAAAGGGAAAATCATACTTGACAAATCTTCTTGAATTCTTCCAAGGACGTAACAAGTAGAATTGAACAGGGGAGTCAGTGGATATGGGTTGTTTTGACTTTCAGAAGGCTTTTGACAAAGTTCGACATAAGAGATTAGCGTGTAAAATTAAAGTACATGGGATTGGGGATAGTGTATTCAGAGGGATAGAAAATTGGTTAGCAGACAGGTAACAAAGAGTAGGAACAAACAGATCTTTTTTCCTAATGGCAGGCAGTGACTAGTGGAGTACCACAGGGATCAGTACTAGAACCCCAGTTATTCACAATATATGTTAATAACTCACATGAGGGAATTAAATGTACTCTCAAAATTAGCAAATGACAGAGCTGGGTGGAAGGGAGAGCTGAGAGGAGGATGCAGAGAATATGATTTGGATAGGTTGAGTGAGTGGGCAAATGCATGATAGATGCAGTATCATATAGATAAATGTGAGGTTATTGGGAGCAATAATTGGAAGGCAGATTATTACTGGAATAGCTGTAAATTGACAGAGGGGAATCTTCAACAAGTCCTGGGTGTCCAGTCGCTGAATGTAAGCGTGCAGCAGGCAGTAAAGAAGGCAGATGGTATGTTGGTCTTCATAGTGAGAGAATTCAAGTGCAGCAATAAGGAGATCTTGCTGCAATTATAAAGGGCGCTGGTGAGGCCATACCTAGAGTATTGAGTGCAGTTTGATCTCCTTTTCCAAGGAAGGATATTCTTTCCACAGAAGGAGTGCAGCAAAGGTTTAGCAAATTGATTTCTGGCATGGTAGGACTGATGCATGAGGAGAGATTGAGTCAGTCAGTCAGGATTGTATTTACTGGACTTTATAAGAGGGGGAATCCTACATAAACCTATATAATTCTAACAGGACTACACAGAGTAGATGCAGGAAGGATGTTCCAAATGGTGGGGGGAATTCAGAACCAGGAATCATAGTTTAAGGATTAAGGGGTAAACATTTTAAAAGTGAGATGAGGAGAAATTTCTTTGCAAAGAGTGGGGAGTCTGTGGAATTCACTGACAAAGATAGTAGTTGAGGGCAAAAACAAAGGACGCGGATATAGCGCTTGCGTCAAGGGATATGGGGAATGGCATTGTGTTCGATGAACAACCAGCATACTGAATGGCACAGCAGGCTCGAGGCAGTGAATAGACGACTCTTGCTCCTTTCGTCTATGTTTCTAGGTTACAAATGTGCTCACTGACCTATTCTCTGTCAACCAAGACTCTTTTTAAACATTCTTACTCATGTTCCATTTGTAATATAGCATTGCCCCTCCCTTTTTCAATCTTTTCCTCCAAAACTTTATGTTCCTCTAACTATTTTCCTTTGCAGATTCTCAAATCCCTTCACTTCAATCTTTACAGTCGTGCCTTCAACTATCTAGACTGCATGTTATGGAAATCTCTCCCTAAAGTTTAGGTTCTCTACCTCCCTGTCCTTCTTTAAGACTCTCCCAAAACCTATTTCAATGGCCAAACCTTTAGTGTCCCCTGCTAAAGCCAATGATTTGTCGTTGTCTTATATGATTATGCTTCAATGGAAAACATTAGAATTTTTATTTTTATGATAAAAGTGCCATACAACTGCAAAAAGTGAGATGACACATTATTCAAGAAGCAGACAAGCCTACATCAAGAAATGTACCATGGCTCCGAAAGTGAAGCTGCCTCACGTTAAAGTCACAAAATGCAAATATCATGAAGCAAATACAAGCTGAAGTCAGTTTAACTTTAGTTTGGGAAGTGTTCATTAATTTCAGATTCCAAACTAATCTTTTAAGATTGTTTTGCATCTAGAGAAATGTTTAATATCCATTATGTGATAAAACAAACTATCTGCTAGATACATATATTTTTGAGAGAAAACCTGGAAACTAAAAGCTAAAACTAAAACCTGGGGGCAGCATGATAGCTCAATAGTTAGCACTGCTGCCTCACAGCACCAGGAACCCAGATTCGATTCCACTCTCAGGTGGTGTCTGAGCGGAGTTTGCACGTTCTTCCCATGTCTGCGTAGATTTCCGCCGGGTGCTCCTCCCACAATCCAAAAATGTGGATTAGGTGGATTAGCCATGCTAGATGTTCAGTGATATGTGAATTAGGTGTGTTAGCCATGGGAAATGCAGGGTTACTGGGAAAGGGTAGGGGAATGGGTCTGGATGAGATGCTCTTTGGGGGAGTCGGTGTGGACTTATTGGGCCCAAGGGCCTGTTTCCACATCATATGATAATGCTCAAATCAGAACCAGTGACAGTGTTATTATATCCAAAGAACATTTTTATCCAATTAAGGTAAAAGCCACATAATATGAACTAGGTCATTCCACATTCTTGAAAAGCAAAATTTGGAAGCATGAATTAAAAAGCAAAAGTTTAAAATGACAGTAATATATGCATTTGAATAGCATCGCTATATGTTGAAGCTGAAGAATCTTGGCAGTAATCTTCCAAGAATCCTTAGATTCTAGAAAATTCCCAGGGGATTAGAAAACTGCCAATGTAACAACTTTATTTGAAAACAGAAAGATGCAAAACTGGTAAATATAAGCCAGTTAGCTTAACTTCTGTTAGTGGAAAAATAGCATACCGAGAACACAGTCAGCATGGTTTCACAAAGGGGAAATCATGCCTGACAAACTTATTAGAAATATTTGAGGAGTTAACAAGTTGTGGATTTAATATATTTACATTTCCAGGACATGCTTGACAAAGTACCATAGATTAGGCTACTTAAAAGGTGGGTGCCCATGGTGTTGGTGGTAGTATATTAATAGGGATAGAGGATTTGCTAACTAATAGAAGACAGAGAGTTGGGGTAAGTGGGCATTTTCAGGATGACAACCTGTAACCAGTGGTGTGCCACCAAGGTCAGTGCAGGGGCCACAAATATTCACAACATATGTTAATAACTTAGATGAGGAAAGTGAGTGTTGCAGTTGCGTGGCACTTTTAACATAGAAATTTTCTAAGGTTTCAACAGAAGCATAATCATATAGAAATAACATCAAACCATTGGCTGTAGCAGGATTAAGTAAAAGTCTGGGTGACACAAAAACGGTGTGAATTTTTATTTATTTATTCACGGGATGAGGGCATCGCTGGCTAGGCAGTATTTATTGACCATCCCTAATTGCCAGGAGGACAGTTAAGAGTCAACCACATTGCTGTGGATCTGGAGTCACATGTAGGCCAGACCAGGTAAGGATGGCAGTTTCCTTCCCTAAAGGACATTAGTGA